GGAAAATAGTAATGACATTTACATACGTAGGTGTATGTGTGTATATATATACGTTTTAACATTTTCTAGTTAGCTTCAAAATACCATATAACTGTATCACATAACCATAACGATCAATCTCAATTCTAACTACCTTTGTTTCTGTAGGATAGTTCAATACAAATATTTATATTGGTAAATCAATTATGTATCATGTTACTGTCTGATGGAAAACAAATGACGCATGAGATGGCATAATCATTTATAACTATATAGTCTCCATATATGTTTTTGTTTACATTAATGGACCTTGCAATTACTGACCTAATCATAGTCGGAATAATACTAATTGGAAAAATTTACGTCTAAGTTTTCATTTAGGGAAAAAGTTTTAAAATATGATTAACTGAGACTTTATCCTCTAATTCTGAGAACATGAAGGAGAAAAGTTAAAGTGATACCTTTTCATCCCAGAAATGTTCTCTACCTTGTGAAGNAGCTATATTTCCTCTAGACTTAACTTTGGCGCGTTTAGTTATAAAACAAATAATCAACTCCTTTTCTGTCTTATTTTGACCAAAACAGATTTGATACTTGGTCTTGTTTCTTAGTCCTCNGTTTCTATCAANAANTTCTATTTCCCTTGTTAATCTNCAATTACTACAAATTAGAAAACATCATGATTACCGATTAAAGTATATAAAGTCNCGAAACTCTAATCCAAATCTTAGTCTATATAAACGATTAGAAAATAGTCAAACACAAAATGTCATCTAACTGTGCCCATTAGATTATTCTCTTCAAGAACATGATTCATGATTCATCCTCCCTCTAAAACACGACCACAAAAAAGTAAACTGGTGATCAATGCATACAAAAAAAACGAATATAATTAAACTACTCCTCATGGTCGTAGTTTGTAAACGAATATGCACAATATTCTATCTAAAATTCATGTCTTCTATTTGGATTATATTTGGATTGATCACCCCCATATTAAATCATTCCAATGCATAACAACAGAACCTCGTGTTGAAAAATCGCATCGTAAGGAAAAACCGATTTTCAATTTACAGTAAATGTGATAATATATTTGAATTAGTCAAAACCTATATATAAAATTTCCATCCAAAGTATAGGGATACACTTTTCAATTTACAGTAAATGTGATAATATCTTTTAATTAGTCAATTTCTATATAAAAAATTTCCAGCCAAATATAAGGGTTTTAAAGTAAGGCACATAATCAAGAATACTCCTATTAATTATTAATCAGAAATCTATATGTAGTTTATTTTGGTAATTGCCTGTTCACAGCATTTAAACAACTAATCATTAACTATTTAGTTAGATGGAATAATTTGTAAAAAAAAAAACATATAGATTTCTGCAGAGATTTATTTCTCCTCGATCAAGAGAGAAGAGGAACTTGACATGAAATGCTTACCGAGCTGTAATGTGAGTTCTTTATAGCACCGAAAAATTCTTCAGGAAGAACATTAGCCGGAACCAGCTCCTGTCATCCGAAACAGAAAGAACTATGTTGACTGACATACAATGGGAGTATTACAAGTAGACAAAAGATGACATGAAAGATTTACCACAAAATTTCTGTAAGGGGTTGCATTGGACAATATAACAGATAACTCCACCCGTGTACCATCAGCAAGTAAAACCTTAGTACCAAGAAATGTCATATGAGTTTGATTCAAGTTTTTCACTTCATCCAGTAATCATGAAGACAAACTAACCCCTTTCACGATGCTAGAATCCTCAGTCAGTACTTCAGAAACCTGGAAAACAATTTTGAATTACTAAGCAGCTCTACTTTCCAGTTACAGAGATGATAACTAAAACTCCATTGTTCTGCATAATGTAGGAACACAGTGCCTGAGCCTGCGTTCCTACATTAATGATCTTGAAATGAAATACCTCTGCGTTTGTGAAAATCTTAGCCTGAGCGCCAGCTTCTTTTGCAGCATTAGCTATAGCCATGGAGACAGAGCCCATTCCACCTTCGACGTAACTACAAATTATTTCTTATCAGCTACTAAAGATATCATCTTGAACTGCTTATGCATCCATACTTATGTAAAGCATACGTCGCTATTTATACATTGCCAATCAGCTAAAATAAAAGACAATTCAATAACTCAGATACATACGACCAAACACTACGCTCTCCATCTGTTTCTCCCATCACATGATGTAGCAGGACATATCCACTTCCAGGAGTATGGACATTGGCCTTTGAAACAATATTTAGAACTACATTGACTCTCCAATATAGTGTGAGTAGCTCCCTGGATGTACATAAGCATCTCTCACCTTTCCATTCCATTAGATTAATAAAACGACCTGATTAAAGAGCATTTGGAACCTCAAAATCTCAAGAGCATTACCTTTAGATTGGACGACGCCGAAATCCGGACTGAGGAGACGATGGCGGGTTGCGGTGAATTACGGTACTCTTGCCATTGCAATTGCTTCAGTTCACCGGCGACTACACCATAATCGTTTCAGAAGAAAATAAATTCGGTGACTGTCAAACTGATCGCCCTGACTTTTCCTCTTCTTCTGCTCAGATCCGGTGACTGCCATGGCCAAATCTCAGGCGGTTTTGGAGCTCACTGCCCCTTTCGAACTCGGCGGCGATGATAAGATCTGAGCCGTATCTCTCTCCCTTCATCGATCCGTATTGTGCCTTAAATGTGCTTCACCATATTGCGTGGGCCTTATACATTTATTTTTGTGTTGGCAATATTTATTAAATGGCCCATATTGTGTTGATTGATTTTTTTTAGTGAGGTGGACACGTGGCAGCTTAAAATATTATATTACATTCTTGATTTAGGGTATAAGATTTATATAGAGTTTAGGGTATCACAGTACAATAATAGCTTTGGTTTTTTGTGACATAAATTAATATTTGAAGGTTTTGAGTTTAGGGTTAAATTTTTCATTTAGTTGGGAAAAATTTTGGTTCTCATTTAGTTTCGGTTTGGTTCCGGGTATTTTTTTTATCGAAATTATCCAAAAATAAATATCTAAAATATCCGAAAAATAATTAAAAACATTTGTAAAAATTGAAATAATACACACAAATTTGTTATTTTTATTCGAGCTATCCGAATATACCTAAAAAATATTCGAACTAACCGAATTAAATGAAAAAATAACAAAAAAAAATTGTAAAATTTACTCGAACTATCCGAGTATACCCAACCTAGAACCAAAATATCTATGAGTTAATTTATGTTTCGGGTATTTCGGATAGCCGTTCGATTCCGGTTCCAAGCATATAGGACATTAGATATTTTTGAAAAATTAGTTCGGATTCGGTTCGTATAA